CAAATTTAGAGATTCCCCATGATGCATTGTAAGAAGTGTGGAGAAAGAGAGAAGCCACCACAATTATAGTGGAAGTCCAATAACTCTGGACAGCGCTAATGAGGGGCCCTACTCATTAGCACCTTCAATCTAACATATATACTATATAAATACAAGAAAAATAAGTGAGCGCTAAATAGAATCAACACTGACAGCAGCTGTACACCAAAAAGGCACCGTATAAGACCTTTCAAACGACACAGGTATAACACAGAGGGGTGCAGCACTCCTAAAAATCCAGAAAAAATTAATATGCAAATGACATAATAAAGTGACAATGTGCAAATATATATATATATAGGCCACTAAATAGTGGCTAATAGTGCTGGAAAGGTGTGAAATCCAGCACTATTAGCCACTATTTAGTGGCCTATATATATATTTGCACATTGTCACTTTATTACGTCATTTGCATATTAATGTTTTCTGTATTATGGATTTTTAGGAGCGCTGCACCCCTCTGTGTTATACTTTAATTATGATATATATAGAATGGTGCATACTATATAGTATATATAAGTATAACACAGAGGGGTGCAGCGCTCCTAAAAATCCATAATACAGAAAAAATTAATATGCAAATGACGTAATAAAGTGACAATGTGCAAATATATATATAGGCCACTAAATAGTGGCTAATAGTGCTGGATTTCACACTTTCCAGCACTATTAGCCACTATTTAGTGGCCTATATATATATTTGCACATTGTCACTTTATTACGCCATTTGCATATTAATGTTTTCTGTATTATGGATTTTTAGGAGCGCTGCATCCCTCTGTGTTATATTTATATATACTATATAGTAGGCACCATTCTATATATATCATAATTATAGTGTATATACTAAATAACATAAACACCACATAAAATTGGTAATTATTTTAATGGAAAGTAGTAGTAAAATGCAGTGAGGTAATAACAGTAAAATAATTGTTATTGTAGATAATATAACAAATTATAAAAATGGTCAATAAAACGTATAAAGTGTAACCATAGGTTGTAAATGATAGTCTATAAAAGCTATAGAAGTATATAATATTACAATGTAGGATGCTGTAGGAGTGTTTTTAAGTGACAATATTTATAAAGTCAGCATTTGCAGAATGTGGGCTCCTGGGATTTTGGAGATTGCAGGTTTCCTTATTGTGTATCTAAACCCCTAAACCTAAAATCTAGTGCTGGGCAGAGTATTGAATGGTCAATAGGTGTGTTTTTTTGTTTTGTTTTATAAATAATATTTATTTTTGAGTGTCTTTCTTACTTTGGGGAGCTTCACTTCCTGCCCTGGAGATAAACCTGGAAGTGAGAGGAACGCTCTGCAAAGTCAGGGGAATTTCCCTCTTAGACAGCTGTCAGAAGAACAGGTTTCCCCATTGGAAAATTTCCCCTCTATACTTGTTCTGATGGATCTCCCATCACTTCCTGTCTCGGCAATAATGGTCACCAGGATAAATAGAGAGGGTGACGCTCCCCAGTGGAGACACAGAGAGAAATAAATACCCTACAGAGATTTAAACCCCTCCACACCCTTATACGCTCCTTCCTGAACTAAGGGAAACAGTTTTGGCTTTAGATAACCTCTCATTTGGAATCTCTGCTTGTAAATTCTAAGAGTTGTTGCTACATGTTATATTGTCATTCTCTGACTTGCTGTCATACATGCTGGTGGATTCCATGCCAAGAACATTGCTGCATGTATAATACCGGGAAGGTTTGTGTAAGAAATTTACCCTCCATTAATGACCACATTTTTTTCTGATTGTCTGAGGTGAGCCCTTTGTAAGCTCCTCTTGGTGTATTCATTGGTATACCTGTTCTGCTGTTGATACGCCTATAGACCGAAGTAGGGTTGCCATCTACACAAGTCACAACCATGTCTTAGAGTGGGCAAAGCTTCGGACTTTGTCAGATTTGTATTGCTTTGTGTGTCCCCATTGGGGAGATTTAAGCTCTCTGTTAATTCTGGCAACTTATAACCCCTAATCAAGTTTTTATTGATATTATTGTGATTGTGAGGAGCACTGGATCAATCTATATGTCCTGTATAGTCATGGCTTTTATACGAGAGTTTGTTGCAGCCAATCTCTGACTATTTAGTGGTTCTTAGAAGAGCATGTAGACAAGGTGGAATAAAATAGAAGCATTACTCCACTTATAAAGTCCAGTATAAGAATTTATTTGACATCGTCAGAAGAATCCAATGCATTTTGGGGGTCCAAGGGTCCCCCTTCTTCAGGCTTGAAGAAGAGCAGAGAAGTTAAATCTGAGCTGGGTTTGAGGATTCTAAATTAAAGCTGGCCATACATGGTTAGATTTTTGCTTAAATGTTTGTATGAATATTTATTGGTCAGAACATTCTTTCTTGCCATTTTTGAGTCAACTGATTTTGTTCGAAAGCCCCTAAAATTTCATCCAGATCTGCTATCTGAATAGACTACCAGACGTATTAAAGAAATTTAATTACAATATGTATAATGTTTCCCAAACAAAAACCACATTCACAGAATTTTGTTTGTTCAAGAAAAATATTACATTCTGCTCCTTCTAATTTTTTGTCACTATGTTTGAAACTGGATGTGAAATTGAACCAACTAACCATTAGAAAAAACAAAAATTTTCAAATGAAACTCTGCTGATGTGGGGCCATTTTTTTAACAATATTGCATTAGGAAGTCGCTTTTAGTGAAACATTGTTTTCATTTAGAATACACATCTTTGTTACCTAAGTCCAGCTCAGATTTAGGCTAGGTTCATGCTGTGGCTGCGTGTTTGGGAATTGCAGCTGCCAAAATGCACTGCTCTGTAGAGACGTGCGGTGCTACCATTCGTTCTTAATGGCACCCTTACGCATCTCAACCCGCAGCATGTTTGCTGATGTGGGAATTTCGTTTTCCCTGCAGCAGCATTTTGCAAATGGTGCAGGCACCATTTTATTGGTGGGAAACACGGGCACAGCAGACCATGCAAACATGGCCTGCAAACCCAAGTGTGAACCTAGTCTTTATTCTTCTGCTTCTTTTCAGCCCCGAAGAAGAGGGAACATTGGCCCTGAAAAGTGTTGGCTTCTCCTAATGCACTCAAATTCTTATTTTGGGCTTTATAGGTTGCTCTTCTTATCTCTACCTTGTCCACAGGATTTTATTGATGTTTGTATCTTCCTGTCCCGGTGGCTCCCCTTTTCCTCTTTTCTGACCCTGGTGTCTCTACTGGGGTCCCACATTGCAGTAAAACACTGAAATAAGTTTTTACCTGTTTCCACTCCATCAGAAGCAAAACAAAAGAGGTCTGGTTGGAGTCGAGCTTTTAAATATCAGAATCAGGTTTTAATTAGGTGAACTTCAAGTGCTGGAAATGGAAGTTGAAAAGAGTCAATTATCTAAAGAATAAAAAAGTGGATTTTGTCATTTTTATGGTGATCACAAGATGGCACAAAATTTTTAAGGCTCGTGCATTATTTCTGTATCATCTGGCACTGGTCCGGTTTCTTGCGTACCTTGTTAACATACACATTTTTTAATGTCTATGGGTCAACTGTGCAAAATTCTGTAGGGCTGAGAAGTCAAACATAGCAATTTCTTTCTTATGTCTATAGCGAACCTCAAAGCCCAAGTCAACTCAGCTTAGTTTTGGAATAAGTGGACAAGGGTTAAGCCTTTATCACAATTTTATTTATGGCCTATTAAGTAGATTTCTGTTCATTTCCTGTGTGGTCACCAAGACAGGAGGGCAGTTCTCACTAATGGAAGCACAGACAACAATGGAAGCCTGGGCAGGGAAGGGGTTGTTTTTTTTTTTTCTTTAGGGTAGAGTCCCCTTTCTGGTGTGATCACCAATACAGGAAATAAGGGAAAATCTCCTTAATAGACACCCTGATTGTAATAAAGCTCAACAAAAGTTCTAGGCTTTTCCTAGGTTTTGTCCGGAGTTTGGCTTTGCATTGGCCACCACTTTGGAAGGGCAAAGCAACAGGTTCACTTAGAGGTCCACATGTCTGGTATATACTCAACTTATGGAATTAAAGTTGAGTATATACCAGACATGTGGACCTCTAAGTGAACCTGTTGCTTTGCCCTTCCAAAGTGGTGGCCAACATCCTGTTTAAATGCCTAGAGTATACAGAAGCACATGAAACACTCCCCTACCTCCCACAATGCAGCACTGGGTGTCTAAGTGATCATTTGCCTCAGAGCTGTCAAGGGGCGAGGAGAGAGTCCTTAGTCCTGTGCAGTCCTTGGTCTCATGAGCACAGGTATATCATTCTTCTGTTGCATTGCAGATCAGTGACTAGACCTGAAACTTGTAGCTGTCCTACAACTTGTATCTATCTGCCCCATATTGGCATTATATCCACTGTAACATTTACATTTTGCAGAGCAGAATAGGGACTGGCCAGAGAGGGATTGCTTTGACTCAGTTGGTCAACTTAAACATGTATTGCAATGTATGTGAACTAAAAATCCCTGTTTTTTTTTTATTGCAAAGTTTGCTAGAAAGGGTATACAGAAGGGGCAGAGGGTTCATTCAGAACTCTTAGTCCCGTGTTGGCTCCTTCTAGAGCGACTTGGAGCCTACACAGGCCTTCTTCACCTTGATACACTGTATGAAGCTCAGATTCACTATCACAATTATATTTAAGACTTTCCAGTAAACAAATTGATGCTAACAATACAGCTGACCAGAATTCAGCACCACCAGACTCTACACTACCACGTCAATGTAATTATACTGCTCAAAATCTGAAGGCTTTATGGAAAATTGGGGCAGAAGTAAAAAAATATTTGAAGTTGGAATAATTAGCTGCCTATATCATGTGTAATGACACCAAACTAGCAGAGTTTACTCCATTTCACGCTGTGTCTGCAGATTATTAGAATTGATAAAGTTGCTTCATCTGACGTTCACGAGCTCATACTGCGAAGCTGGCTCTCATGAACCTTCTTGTGTTTGTGTCTCCACAGTCTAATAAAGTTCCAGTAGTTCAACATCCCCACCATGTCCACCCACTCACACCGCTTATCACCTACAGCAATGAGCACTTTACACCCGGAAATCCCCCACCACACTTACAGGCGGACGTGGACCCCAAAACAGGTATGTCTCTTCAAGATCTTTTTTTGCTTTTGGCTACAAATGTAAACTTTTTTTGAGTAACAATGTAAAACTACAGGGTCTGTTTTATGAAAAAATCAAAAATCAGTTTGCTGCATGTACATTTGTTCTGTGCGAATAGGGCTAAATGAATTTAGTGCTGGTTGAATGATTTTCAGTGATTTAAAATGGAAATGACTGCATTTGGCCAGTAGATGGTGCTAATTATAGGAAATTTTTTTGATACTTAGCCTTATCTATTGCCCCCCTGAACACTTGCAAACACCACCTTCTTAGAAACTCTGGCATGCCCACACTGTATCTTACAATGACCTGTGCATTGCATTTTAGGATGCTTTGGGGGTATTCTTAAAGTGATACTAATGGCTTAATTTGTTCTTTTTTAAACTACAAACTTGTTATACTTACCTGCTCTGTGTAATGGTTTTTGCACAGAGCAGCCCCCCAATCCTTTTCTCCTTAGGTCCCCCGCTGGCGGTCTGGTCTTCTCCTCCCTGCCAAGTGCCCCCATAGCAAGCCGCTTGCTATACAACACTTGTACATGCTCACTTCCAAGTCCTACTATGTGTGTCCATAAGAAACACAGAATGCGGCTCGCCCTCTTCACTGGATGCGATTGACAGCAGTAAGAGCCAGTGGCTCCTTTTGCTGTCTCTGATCCAATGAGGAGGCAGAGATCTAGGACAGCAGGCGCTCCCATGCACATTGCTGGATCAGGCTCAGGTAAGTATTGGGGGGGCTGTGGGGGGAGCTGCATACTGAAGGTTTTTTATCTTCATGCAAAGAACATGTAATCACAATTTGTTTCAGAAGACCATTACATTATTAATTTATTCCAGGTACTTATATAGCGCCATCAATTTACGCAGCGCTTTACATATATATTGTACATTCACATCAGTCCCTAACCCTCAAGGGGTGTACAATCTAAGGTCCCTAACTCACATTTATACATACACATACTAGGCCTACCAAGTAGTGTGGAGTGTGGTTGGAAACTGGAGTACCCGGAGGAAACCCACGCAGGCACAGGGAGAACATGCAAATTCCAGGTAGGTGGTGCCGTGGTTGGGATTCGAACCAATGACCCTAGTACTGCCAGGCGGAAGTGCTAACCATTTAGCCACTGTGCTGCCCTACATTGGTTTAGTGTACAGTGTGAGCGGATTGTGGCTCCACCTTCAGCACCATTATTACCTTGTGTGATTTCAGACAGCAGGGGGTCTAGGATAGCACCTTCACTCAAATCAAATGATATAACTTTCCCAGAAGTTATTGCATATAATATACTTTCTGTCAGACTTCACTGTAACACAGTAGATGTGCAGATATCACTGATAGAGTGAGAGATGTCTGTCCATAATTGAACAAACAAGATCTTCCATGGTGACACCCACTTGGTACCTTGACCTGCCCCAAGTATCCTCATTTTTGCCAACATATATTCCATAATGGGCTGTATTCTGTTTTTAATTAAAAATAACTGTTCAGTGATTTTTTTTTTTTTGCATTTTTTTTACTCAATTTGAATTTGTTCTATTACACGCCACTTTACAAATTTCCAAGAGCGAAATTGGAAAAGAGACTTGTAAAATAGCCGCAAAGCATTATAAATAACCTTCATAATCTTAATGTCAATTTCAGACCTCCTTTTTCTACTTGCTTGTAGGCTGGTCTTTGCAAAAAAAAAAATTGGAAAAACTAATTTAAAACAAACTATTTGAATGTGCCTCTCATTTACTAGAAGGATGGAAAAGTAGCTTGGCTATAACTGCAAAATGTTTTTTAACCAGGAGAAACAAATGAATGAAATTATCATTGTAATTAAACTTGTAGTTATCATGGCTTTCGGTGGCCAGCCTAACAGTTTAATTTATGGAGTTGAGTTTCTTGAAGGACCTGTAACACTGAATGTTCCCCCTTCATTAGTCTACTCCTCAAAGCCTATGTTCTAAGTAGGCTCGTTACATGGATTCACCAGCTGCACCTGTACTCTGGGTTCATCTTCATCATTTATTATTGCTGCTGGCAGCTGTCTCGCTCTTGGATCCCCTACCCTGCCCTGGACACCCTGACAGTGCTAACATTACAGTAGGCCAAGGGAGATGTGACCAGGACAACTCTTACATGATTGCATGGACAACTTTGGCACTAGGCATGTCTTCTGGATAACTGTTCTGGCAAACGCAGGGAGAGACTCACATGGGTTACAAATAGATCACTATGGGCTAGAATCAAATAAAATATATTGATATAGCCACTCCTAGGCCGATTTCAGCATATGATGCAAAGATGGAGCCATGGAGAGCTTTTTTAAGGATAAACACCTTGGGGATTATGTACTAAAATTGAATGGTGCAAAAGTTGGTGCAACTGCGCATAGAAACCAATCCGCTTCCAGGTTTTATTGCCAAAGCTTAATTGAACAAGCTGGCGTTAGAAGCTGCCTGGTTGCCATGCACAGCTGCAGCAGATTCGGAGTGTACCGGTTTTAGTAAATCTCCCCTAGAGTCCTTCTAGCCAACGGAAGCTGTACTGTACTGTACTGAGATTGTACAAAATGTTGAGTTTAGTTTTATGGAGAAAGGACTGGGACACTTTTTGTCGTAGGCCAAATTGTGCAAAGGGTCACAGTGGATTTAAACTAAGCTACAAGATCTTGGTGAAAAATGAGCCTTTTGTAATAAGGTTGGTAGATAACCCTGAAGCTAACCCATCTAAATCTCAAAAGAAAAACATATTCAACTTGAATATGTCCATGAAATTAAAGTGAGCTGACTAAGCAATGATGGCTCTTTAGAACTGTCATCATAAAGTCTTGAAGGCACATTGGCATTGACAAAGCCAGCAACCTGCCATGATCCTTATCCTAGACCAGTATCAACTGAACAGGAAAATCTAACCAATCCAAGCCAATTGATTTTTCTTTCCTGCAAGCTAAACCTGGAGGTATCTAAGGTCATATAGTGCTTATAGCTGGGCAATGGTCTCCCAATCCTACCATAATCATCAAGAACAACTATGTAGAAGTCTATTGACTTCTGGATTGTCAGATCTATGTGTTCTTTCATGGAATCTTTGTTTGAAAATTTGTGAAGGGTGAAAACAAATCTGAGCTATGTACAGCAAGCTTGTCATTTTCCTAAAATACACCATAATTTATTAGTTAAAGTGTTGTGATGGTCCTATTTTGCCATACTTGGGCCCAAAGGCCTCCATTCATTTGTTTTTGTGGGTTTCCAGGTGTTTTGTTTTCTCTAATAAATTATTTGGGTCTGATTTGTAAACCCTGAAGCTGTTGATTCATTTTTATCTTGTTATTTTTATCCTATTTTTATTCTTTTTTTATTTTATTATATTTTTATTCCTGGTAGTATTATTTTCATTATTATTTTATTACCTCATTTAATTTAGTTTTTTATTTTATGTTGTTATTTTTATTATATTATTTTATTCAAGATTGGGTTTTATCTTTCTTTCTGATTCATTCATGATTGGGCACTGAGAGTTTGATTGACTAAACGCACTCTGCCAGTGCAGTTGCTCCAGACTTAGTAAATGAGGTAAAACGCCTCTTCACAAAGAATACCCAATCACATACAAGGAAAATGTTAAAAAAAAAAGCAGTTTTTTGCTTGCATGATTGCTCATGTACTAAGCTTTGGAGCAACTGCTCTTGCAGAGTACAGCTGCACTTTGCAGAGTGCACAGTCTAATTGCCTTTATTAAATCAACCCCTATGAGTGGTTGTCATTCCTATTATGTGTTGGTGCAAAGCATCTGCCAAAGTTTAAATGACTGTGATGAGGAAAGTGGATTGCATGTTCCATTGCGGACAGAGATTTATATGAACGGTTCTATGTACAGCATACGGGAACTTAAGTAGGCACTATAACAAAATCTAAAATATATCTTGAAAAAGTGTAATGAAATCTTTGGTCAAGTGTAGTGTTTCTGGTTAACCATTTAGCATCTGTTTTAAGTATGACGTGTTTTTTGTCTTTTTTTTCCTAGGAATCCCGAGGCCTCCACACCCTCCGGATATATCTCCCTATTACCCTCTATCTCCCGGCACCGTAGGGCAGATCCCCCATCCGCTAGGATGGTTAGTACCACAGTAAGCAGTTCCAGAGAGTTCTTTTTTATAAAATGTATTTGTTGCAATATTGGATAATCGTAATAAAATCTAAAGAAAAGTCTAGTGCGTATGCTTTAAATAGGGTTTAAGGATCAATTGATCATCCAAAAAATAGTGTGCAGTATATTCACAAAGGAAAAATTCTGTCACGGTCTTCTTTTGCATCCTCTGAGGTTTTCAGCTTCTGTTGGAGGTAGAATTTGAAGGAAGGAAACTAGGAATTAAATGCAAATTAAATATGAGCTACCATAAAATGTAGGAATTGGGCAATAAAGAGCTTTAAAGACTAACTGCTTCGAAATGTGTTGTATAGTTTGGATAGAGTTGGGAAGACCCCACTGCAGGGTTCTTATATCTAAAAAAGGCATATTCAAGAGGCGTTTGGAAGTCAAGATTTGTTTATTCAATAAAACAAAGATCGCTTAAATATTTACTGGCTCTGGTAAGGCGCCCTTGGAAAGAAAGGCTCCCCTTCAATTTGTACTGTAGATGGGCTTTAAATGTAGAAACACAACAGGAGCATCAGACCTGATGATAAAGCTGTACACATCACCTTAATGATTGATCAGATGATCACATAAAACAGCCAACGTGTTTTGGGAGCTAGCAGACTCCCCCCTTCATCAGGACTACAAAATAAAAATGATGTATATCCACATACGTTTATACACGTAAATAAGGCCTACTATTGCTTGAAGAATACATCACTTAAGAGGCCCAATAATAGAAAAACATAATAATAAAGTAAGTAAATATGATTGAAAAATTGAATTATCATTACTCTTGATATTATATTTTTCTATTATCAAGCCTTTAAATGATGCATTTTTAATAGTCATTGGTCTTATTTATGCATATACATACTAAAGGTATATGGATATGCATAATTTTTATATTTAATTTGCAGTCCCAATGAACAGTGGGTGTTTTTTGTGTTCATATGATTAATTATTGACATGGATTCTTCTACTGGTTGGTCTGGTGCTCTTGGTTTGTTCCTACATTTTCTGTTCTTATTTCATTGGCAAGATTTTCTGTCATTCCTTGTCCCTTTGACACCCATATACAAAATAGGGAGGCTATTGTCACTTTGTCACAGTCTAGGATCTCCATGGGGATATTTCCACCCACCATGTTGTGTCAGAAGTATTAGAAATATTTAAATTCCCTGGAGTGTAAATCTCTATTTTTATATTTGAATAGTGAGGGTCAAGTTTAATTCCTGTCCAACACTTCATTACATGATGGGACCCTCATGGGGTGATTTCCACCCACCCCTTGGTCACTCTAGGGTTGAAATTCCTTCTCTGAACTGATTTTTCCTTAAAGCCCTACAGTGCATCTTTTAGAAGGCAGTGACACCAACTTTAAGGCATCAACCATGAAGTGTTGATAGCTCTCTAGTGGATCGTCCTTAGGAATATGAAGAGTTTACTCCAGAGAGGAACCAAAATGTAGGAGATCTTCAGGTTGGAATCAGAGCGTTAGAAACTAAACCCTTCCCTTATGGCAGCCAAGATAAAAAATAAAAAAAAAGAGTGGAGTGGAATGCCACCTTTGAAGTCAATTAATGCATACCAGGGAAAAACTCTGTTGTCTATTATGGTCATCTGACAGGATTTACTTCATTCCTATTACTGCATTAAATCCTACCACCATCTACACTGTTGCAGATAGAGAGAGTGGTGCCAAGCACTTTCTAGCTCAGTCCTGCACACTATGTTTTGATAGGGCCATTGTGACTGCATGACATTGGCGTTCTTGGGAGTATCATCCCCCATAAAACTCAAAAATATATTTTGTTTTCTGATGTATCCATGTCAGATCCACAATTGTGCTGCTCTGAAATGAGATTTTAAGCTGCTGAAGGGAATTGGCTCAGATTGAAGATCACTTGGTGACTGTCAGTGGCCACTTCAATGTTAAATTGTACTAATTATTTGTGGGTGCAGCTGTTTTGATTGTCTTTTGCAATACTGTAATGTTGTGAAACTGTAGAGTTGGATATATAAAAAGAACCAGTCATGCTTGGGCTTAGACTAAAATCAAAATATTCTGTTTCCTTCTATGAGAGTGAACCTTGTAGCTGAAAGTTGGATACGAGCAACCTTCCCAATGTCCATACACTTGTTGACTTCCAACACTTTTGATCATTGTCTCCCAGGTTCTGAATATGCCTATCATAAAAAGCCTAATAATTGCTTACATATACCTTTGAATTTATAGTTATGCACACCCAGAAAATGGGAGATAGCATTGAGCTGGAGGTCAGGTGATTAACAGGGCAGCATGTCTCTGTTCTGAGAGTCTTCTGTAGGCAAACTTTGCTAACATCCGGGGCGGATATACCTTTCCCATAAGTAATACACAATTTCATACCTAATATTCCAATTATTTCTTAAACCCTATTGTGACAAGTTCTCATTACATTGTCAGTCTTAAAGGGATTTGTACATTTTTTCAGTCTCCATTGAAACAATGTAATCTTACCTCACATAGCACCAACTCACTTTAAAGGGTATATAATTCATAACAATGAACATCCCTATTTTACTGTCCTCTGATCTTCTAAATGTACAATTGAAAGTGTTTTCAACAAGTGCAAAAATAGCTGTTGATTTTGCCAGAAATCTTGTGAGCTGAGAACTTTCTGTGCTCCCTTTCTGTGCACAAGGAGGGGTTATGGAGATGAGGCGGGGTTATGGAAATGAGGAGAGGGAAAGGACATGAGGAGGAGTGTGAAGATGGAGGGGGAGATGAGGAGGGGTTATGGAAATGAGGAGAGGGAAAGGACATGAGGAGGGGTATGAAGATGGAGGGGTTATGGAGATGGGGGCCAGGAGATGTGGAGAGATTATGGAAATGAGGAGAAGGAAAGGACATGAGGAAGGGTATGAAGATAGAGGGGTTATGGAGATAGGGTAAGGATATGTGGAGAGGTTATGGAAATGAGGAGAGGGGAAGGACATGAGGAGGGGTATGAAGATGGAGGGGGAGATGAGGAGGAGGGAAAGGACATAAGGAGGGGTATGAAGATAGAGGTGGAGATGAGGAGGGGTTATGGAGATAGGGCAAGCAATTGAGGAGAGGTTATGAAGTAGAGAGGGAACTGATATAAGGAGAGGTTATGGAGATGGTGGGGGCGAGAAATAAGAAGGGGTTATGGAGAAGAGGAGGGCTGAAGGAAGTGAAGGGTTGTGGCAAGAAGGAGTAGTTAGAGATGAGAGGGGAGGAGATTAGGAGTGGTTATGGAGATGAGGGGTGGAGGAGGAGATGGGGAGGGATTATGGAGATGAAAAAGGCAGGGTTATGGAGATGAAGAGAGGGGGAGGACATAAGGAGGCATTATTGGGATGGGAGGATGTGTTATGGAAATAGAGGGAAGGAGAGAACAAGGGGCTATGGAGATAAGAAGGGATGATGAGGGGGGGGATGATGAGGGGTTATGGAGATAAGGGGGGATGATGAGAGGTTATGGAGATGAGGAGGGTCTGTGTTCTTTGTAATCTCTGTAATCACAAATTAAGTAGGCAGGGCTGACACCACATGCTTAGGAATTCAGACCTGTGTTGTCCTGCCAAAGAGGAAGGTGGGAGCGCACTATATTTTTGGCACATTAACAGTTATTTTTCTACACTTGCAGCATGTTTAAAGGGATAAAACATGGGAAATATGCATGTAAAGTGCTGCGTAAACTGTTGGCGCTATATAAATCCTGCATTATAATAATAATATATTCTAGAGTTCTACAGTATATTTTTTAATATTTATTTTGCATTGACATACACTTCAAATCTTTCCCTTAATCTCTTCCAAGTTTCTTTTAAAGCTTTGGCTGAAACGTGGAAAGGTTTATACCTCTCTGGTTTTTACTGAAGTTCATGTCCTCATCTGGGAGCTTTTCTCCTCACTTCCTATTCTGATGACACCTTGTCATGCACTAGCATGCAGTTTGTCTGTCACCATACTAGGAATTTGTGGAAAATGTCCCCATTGCAAAAACAAGCAACAGTAAAATGCTACTGTGTGCTGTTACTGCAACCATTAGAGAGATCTCCTCTCATCTTCTGCAACAAGTGTACAGAAAATGAGTAGAAGGCTTCCCAACAGGGGACAGAAACTGTAGTAAAAGCTGACCGAGCATCTAATTCTTTTCCATTTAAAAGGGTGTTTTGTTGCTGTTGGAACAGAAAAGAATCAAAAGTCACCCAGCAGTGTGCCACAAACTTATTGTGAGTCCAGCCAGGGGCGGACTGACAACTCATGGGGCCCCCGGGCAATAGGGGACCATGGGGCCCCTGTGTCCTTGCCCACACTCAAAAAAGCCTATGAAAAAGGTACCAGGGGCATCTCATGGGGCCCCCTACTGACCCCGGGCCCTCGGGCAGTGCCCGAGTTTCCAAATGGTCAGTCCGCCCGAGTCCAGCAAATCTTTATTGCACATTAGAAAAAAGAGAAAGCCAGAATGGAAAGCCATTGTGTTTTGGGGGCTTAATACTTCTCTTTATCAGGGCTTGGATGTTTATAGTAAATGGGGAGAATACTGGACAGCAAATTGCAAAATAGAAAGATTTAAAAAGTGCTATTTCGGGTCGCCAGTCAGAGGCTGCCAGTATTTGTCTCATTTATTGTCAGCACCTAACCCCTGATAGCCAACAAAAAAGCCGGCTGCACTCCAGTGATACCACATAGTCAAAACTTTATTGTTATGGACAAGATCACAGGAAGTCCACCAAGACCATCCACACATTGACTCATTTCACCCAGAGCTTGCTCATAAAGATCTAAGCCATGATGAGGGAGTATTGGGCCCCCAAAACGTGCTGGCTCTCTTCTGACCTTTTGACATGTTCTGCAAAAGTTGGCTGGACTTGAATTAGATCTGTGGATCTCTCATCCTTTTCAGATTCCTTAAGACTACTTCTGAGTCCCCCAAGAATACCTTGGTTGACAGAAAATTGTCTCTAA